AAATTTGAGGATTGATTATTGTTGTTGTTGGGCCGATTCTGAGAAAAGGAGTTCCAGCCTCTTTCTCCTTGTTGATCTCTTCCTCTTCCTCTTTGGCCAAGAAATGCTTGATTGTGATCAAGTTGTTGCTTTTCGTCCACAAGATAAACCCGTTCAACGACACTACAAATTGGTTAAATGATGGATATGGAGGATTCGATAATACAACAACTTTAAAATCATTGTATTTCGGGCCAAGCCCTTTTGAGATTTGAAAAACTTTATCGATATCTGAAAGAGGCTTTTCGATTGCTGCCAGTTTGTCACAAATACTCTTAAAATTTTGGATGTACTCGCCAAGGGACAGCAATCCTTTGGTTAAGGCATATAAGCCAATTTTAAGTTGAGATTCATTCTTGTCGGTGTTGGGCAACAGTTGTTCTTGGAGAGAGTTCCAAACTTCATATGTTGTATCCCCACCAAAAATCATGCTAAGCATATCTTCTATCATGTTTCTGAGAAGTCAAGATGTAAGAAGACCATTGTTGATCCAAGTAGCAAAATTTGGATTTGTGATTTTCTTACCCTCTGAATCAACGAGTTCATTAGTTGATTTTTGTGAATCATTGATGTGGTGTTCTATTCCAAGGCTATGAATCAGGGGAAGAATTTGAGATTTCAAAGAAGAAAATTGGAGGTAGTTGTTGGGGCTCTTTTGTCGCAGACCTGTTGACGTGGAAGGTGCGAAACTCCTGGCTTCATTTAGTTGGTCGACGTTATATGTACATCGGTTGAACCCTGTCAATGCGTCGGCCGACAGAGGCTAATGAGCTTCTAAGTGTGATTTTTGACGTCGAAGATGGCTGGAGTGAAGACATTGGCCCCGGCTGGGTTAGGCTAAACCCGGATGACCCCGAGGACAGCGGTATCTGAGGGCGACATCCGTTGCGATTCCGGCTCCGAGATAGTGAAAAGTTTCCGATGAATTCTAGTGAGCATATGGCGTGGGAGAGGAATGTAACCGGTTTATGGAGGAAGTTCCTAAGCATGTAATTGAGTTATATCCATTTGTTTGTGAATAGAACGATTTTGACGGATGTAGTATGTTGGACGGGATAAGGCTCAGTTTTAGAAATATTAGGCTATGGCTGAGGTGTTTTCACCACTTCTAATAGGGAGAACGCCTAGAAACTTGTTCCAGAGGGACTCCGCCGAAAGTTATGGAGATTAAAGTTCTTCGTCAGGCATTCCCATAAACCAAAATCTAAAAGGTGAATAACTTGCTAAGAGGAGAGTTTCTGAGCTTGTTGTTTTGTGTATTCCAGAGACTCCTTAAAGCTTTTAGATGTGTGATAAGCCATATTCACATGTTTGTGAAAACCAACTGTAGGACCGTGACGGATGTAGTACGTCGGTCGATAGAAGTAAACGTTGGGTGTTGTAAGCCATGGTTGGGTATTCTCAGAGGTTATCCCAAGCTTTAACCATTTCCAATGGGGAGAACGCCTAGAAACACGTTCTAGAGGAACTCCGCCGGAAGTTATGAAGATTAGAGCTCTCTGAGGAGTATTTCGGTAAGTGAAAAACCAAGAGTTGTAACTAACAAAAGGAGGGAGGTTTTAGGCTTGTTTTTTAGGTTGTTGATGTTGGGTTTTCATGTGTGTTTATCTTGGGGAAGAACGCTCGAGCATTACTTGCTCGGAGGAGCTCAACCAGAAATCATGAGAAGAAAAGAGTTTCTCTTAAGTGGGATAGCTATGCTTGGCTTGCTCTCTCTCTCCCTTTTCCCGTTTTTCTCCCCTTTTCTATAGTGTAGGGATGTGGTATTTATAGGCAAGGATGGGGGCTCCAAGAGGAGGAAAATTTCCCTCCAAGAGTGTTTGAATTCTTGGCTGAAATCCCTCCACAAGCCTACGTCAGTAAGACATTTCCAGCATGGTTTAATGTTGTCTTTTGTCAATCGCAGGGGAGGGTTTACCAAAGAGATGAAGGACTGGGCTATTGTGCAGCCAATGGGGGTAGTTGGGTGTTTTCAGCTTGGTTCAGGCCAAAAGCCAATCTGACACTTGCCCCTGTTAAGTAGTCAATCAAGTTATGTGGCCGTTTTGGGTGTGGTCAGAAAAATGGCAGCCAAGTGGTCAAAGGCTTGCCTTCTCTTATTTGTGTATATTCTGCGTTTTTATAGTTTTTAAAGAAGAGAGACTTTGTTGACTTTTGAGGGGAGAGAAGGACAAGAAGAGAAATAAAATTTTGGGTAAAATGTTATTTTGTTTTATCTCAGTGTACATGTGGTGACTGTAAAGTTTGGTAATTTGTCATACTCTGTCTAATTTCCTCCATAACCCACGTTATCCTAATTTTCTCATAGACCAAAGACCACCCCAAGTGGGCCAAGGATCTAATTAGGTCGGATAAAATGGGCCCGGTCACATTCCTTGGCCTGCTAAACCACGACCCACATAGAAAGTCCCTGAAGCGTGGCTTGGGTCTACGTACCATACCTTGGGTCATGTTGTGGGATTTGGGCCGAATCCGTACCGTACAATTTTTCAGGCATCAACAGTAGTCAACTTAATGGAGACTAGGCTAGAGCATTGGTGAAAGAGTTGAATAGAAAGCTTTGGCTCTTCAAAAGATGACATTTTAGAGCTTGACGAAACCTTCTCTAATACCATGATAAATTTTAAATAAAAGGCTTGAAGGATTACACGAATAAGTGAGTATAAATATGTTTACATTCTTGTATTACAAGGATTAATACAATGGTATATATATATATATATAAGAAGGTTCCAACGATAACAAAAGATAATTTAGGAAAGAGCGAATATGATTTCTTTGGAGTAGAAATCATTCCTTGATCAGTTGAGAATTAAGAGGAAATCCTTGATAGTTTGAATTCGTGTGACAAAGCATAACACTCTGCTATATATATTTCTAACGGATAGTTATTGTCCAACAGCTTTTCTTGGTTGAGTCAACTATTGTGACTTGACATTGATTATTTGTCTTATTAAAAAACAATAGTCAATATTAATAGAGGCCAGGAAAGGGATGGCGAAATGTAAAAACGACGCCAAGGAGGAAAATGGGGAAAAATGATAAAGGACGTAAAGAGGAAGACGACGTAAGAACTGAAGATGATAACAACGCAATAAAACGACACCAACATTATAAAGCAACAATGAGAAGAGTAGGGGGATAGTAAAACTCAAAACAGTAAAAAATAACAGTAAACGACGCAATTAAAAACCGCAGCAGATTGAAAACGACAATAAAATTATAAAACTATAACAAGAAAACAAGAGATGATAAAAACTCAAAACGAGAGTCAAGTGAAAACAACAATAAAAGAGGAAAGCACCTAAAAAACTTTAACGCGACAAGAACACGTATAAACAAGAAATTTAAAGAAAATGTATAAATAACGGTAATAGTACAGACACGACTACACGAGCGAAAAACAACTATACCACCTAAGGAAAACACACACACACACAACTCAAATTTTATGAGGAGAGTGTATCAAAATGACAACAAAAGAGAGGTACGACATCAAATCAATAATACCACAACACGAGTGAAAACAACAAAATATGCAAACGACAAAGAAAAACTAAAACAACATGAAAGGAAAAAGGAAACCAATAAAGTTGACAAACGACAAGAAAAATTGTAACGAGGATAACAGCAAAGAAAATAATTACAAAACCGTAGAGTAACGATGATAAAAAATGACAATAATAAAGGGGAAAGTTAGCAAAACTGCAAACTAAAAATTAGTGCTCGAACGACATGAAAATTTTAAAATGTCACGGACTTGCAAATGACAATGAAAGAGGTAAGAGACAACAGAACCGCCGATGAACGAGGTGAGAAATGAATGGATACTAAAAGAAAACAGAAAACGACAACAAATGACAGATTATAATGTAAGAGGGAAACGACGACAAAGCTTAAAAACGACAAGAAAATAGTAAATGACAATAGAAGACGAACTCGGGAAAAAAACAAGAAAAAGAAATCTCGAAAACAACCTATCCCAAAACAAGATTTTGTAAATTAAAATTTGTGTATCCAAAACCTTTTTTTTAAATCATTATTTCCAAACCAATGTTTCAAAATAAATTAGTTAGAGTATACGGGTAAAAAAAAATTAATTGGTTAGCTTCAATGTAGCACCAAAGATTTTAGCAAATTGATATTACTTTTTTTTTTAAGGGACTTTCCTTTAATTATTTAAGAATAAAATCATTTTAACTCTCTATTACAGTAAAATATCTTATTGGTATTTTATATTTTTAATAATACTAAAACGGTACCTTAACTTTTAAAGAAATATTTTTCTGACACCCTTAAGATTAATTTTAGGATATAAAATTTACGTTCTACCCCTTTCACTAATTAATAACAAACTAATATTTTTTAAAAAAATTATGAAATACTGTAAAACATTTAAAAGTTAAAAAATTAAAAGAAGTTAAAATGGTTTTAGAAAATATTTTTAAAGTTTTTAGTTTCTATTTAATTAATAACAAGTCCTAAAAATCAATTTAACAATATAAAAAACATTTTTTAAAAATAGATGTACCATTTTAATATTATTAAAAATATATAGTATTAAATATTAAAATAATTTTATTCTAATTATTTATGTTAATGAGTTTTGTAATTGAATTTTACTTACGAACTCCGCTTATTCCATTTTAAGATTTAAGTTATTTTTTCTTTAGGAGAATTTTATTCTCTCTTCTTTCTTTTTTTTTTTTTTCTCAGACAAAATTAAAGAAAACTCTCATCGTACATAAATACAGTCTACATGTTAGGTTATTTTCCGGTGGAAGGGGGGCCGGAAAAGTTGACGAATAATATCGAAAATTGAAAACAAAAAACGGATAATATAAAATAATATTATATAGATTCGGACGTAAAACCCAATTTCAATGGGGCTGAGTAAATTCCATTTCGCTTGAGAAACGACAAATCAGTACTCTGTTGTCTGCCTTCGTCTCCTTTCTCATCCATTTTCCGATTCTATTCCTCACTTCGCACTTTGCACACTAATAGAGAAGGCTTTACACACAAACACATTAGTGGAAACTGAGAACACAAACGACGACGACAAATACACCAACAAAGAAATTGGAGCTACGAAGCCTCCATCTCTATGTCTGCAACTTAGTTTAAATTTTCTCTCAAGATCTCATAATTTTTCTTCTAGTGACCACTTCAGGTAAGTAACTCATTTCTTTCCTTCTTTTGTCTTTTCAAAAAAGGTTTTCGCTTCCGTTCTACCTAAGTGGAAAATTCTTGTTTGGCTGTTTGCTGAGAAAATACGGGGAAAGTTCCTTCAGCCAGTTGTTTCATGAGAATTTTGCATTTCGCCGGTTTATTTTCTTCTGCTTTCTTTCTTTTTTTTTTTACCTCATTTTCTCGGCTGCCAAACAGGCGATTTGTGCAGTTTTTTGGTTTTGTTTTTACTCGTCCTTTCGTTTTCTCTCTCTTTACAGCGACCGTAATGGTGTTTCTTTTGGACTCCTTTTTGGATGCAATGTTTGTTTATAGTTCTAAATTAATATTATTATAAAATGTAGCTCTGAGTTCGTTCTCGAGAGAGTTTGAAGATTGCAGGCTTTTTTGTCTCTCACAGTCATAGGCTTTTTCTAAAAAAAGCAAAATTGAATCTCAAAAAGTTGATGATTTCATGTTAGGTTCTTCCATCATTTCTCCTTTTGAAATAATTTCCTCTAAACAGAACAAAAAAGCCACTTACTTTCGCTTTTACTCAACTGCATTCTCTTCTTTTGCTGCAGATTTGACGGTTATATTATTATTACTATTTCTTTTTGCCCTTTTCTCTAGATCTACTTCTGTTTGTTTGAAGGGAAACTTGTTCATGAAAAATTCTTTCAAAAAAAAAATTTTTTTTTTGGGGGTTTGATGCAGTTTCTGGCTTAATGAAGGCACAAACAATAGCGTTTCAGAAGTTTTATTATTTTTTTATTATCATTTTTAATATTTTTTTTGGTTGCTCAAAATTTCAAACGCCACCATTAAAATAACTGGTACTGTTTTCCCTCTTTCACGGCAAGACTGCAGGAGGGAACTTTTCCCCTTCATTCACGCAAATCACCTGGTTTAGGTGCTTAATTATTCATGTTTAATGTCAATAAGAATAGGGCATTTTCGTAATTTAATAATGCCTTTGTTTGTAGTTGTAGGTCCATTAGGTGATATTGCATTAATAATTGGTCTTGACCTTGAGCACTGTACAAGTTAGACTCTAGTAGGGTAGCAACTTGCAAGCATTGAATGACCCTTTTCTTTTTTTTCTTTTTTTTTCTTTTTGCAAGTGATTAATTCTTTCTTTTTGTGTTCAATCAAATGAACTGAATATCCTTTTACATTGTTATATTTGTGCTTTACCTTTATTTATGGCTTCTCTTATGTGATGATAATGGGGCACATGTCCTCCATGAAACCATTTATTGCTTCACGTACGGTTCACATTGGATCCCCTTGTCTCAGCCTTGTGATTTTCCTGACTGTTTTCAGGCCGTGTGGGTCACAGGGAGCGCCCAAACATTTGAAGTGAATCTTAAATTTTGAAGGTGATTTTTAACCCAATATTCACTTGAGTTTTGTGGGTGAAAAAAGAAGTCCAATTATGCAGACCCCAAAAGCAAGGTAACTTTCTTCTCTCAAGATGATCTTCTATATGTGTTGCTTTTTAACATGTAACACTCACCAAAAGGGGTTATACTTTTTTTTTTTCTTAATTTTTTAATCTCCACCTTTGTTTGATCTTTCCACTGTTGGTGAAACTTGATGGTTCTACTAGTTAAGTACTTAAGTTATAAGTGATTTTCCAATGTCGCTTCTGATTGGTGAAATCTCTCGTTTTCTAGTCTTCACTCTTCACATTGGTTTTGGTCCTTTTGGACTACTGGCTTTGTCTCATTATTTCTCTGAAACGTCAAGTCAATATATAGATGTGTCGTGTACTTGAGTTGCCAATGAAATTGTGCAACTTTCGCTTTCGAGCTAATTTCCAGGGCCTGTTTTTTGTGGTAAGGGATGTTAACGCTTGTTTTTTGTGGTAAGTGTTGTTAGCATTTGTTTTTTTGTCGTATGAGCGTTGAAATTTAAAGAAAGATCTATCTCATGCCTTGTGAGTCTACGCTAGGGCCTCTTGTGGGGGTGTGCTTTAGTCTGCCGGACCCGCTCTTGCTGTTATATGATATTACAAAAGAGATTCATCCCTGTAGAAAATAAGCTATTTATATTTTCCTTTTCTTTCTTCTTCTTCTTATTTTGGAGGTAACTAGGTAAGCTATGTAGTATTTTACGTGACATGGTAAATTAATTATCTATTAATTGTTTAGTTTGGCTATAGTTTTTTTTTTTTTTTTTTCCCCTTCTCGTTATGCAATGTGTAAGGATTAAATAATAGTACAGATACCAGTACCAACGTCATTATTAGATACTTTTGAATTATGGAAGGAAAGAAGATATTATGAATATCAATTATTAGTCTTTAAAACCATTTCTGTCCGTTCAAAAAAGTTTAGTAGGAAAAAAAAAACTCGTGCTCTTTAGTCTTTAATTTCTTTCTTGAATGAGCATTTAAGATGGATTTTGAAGCATTACCAAATTAATATATTTGGATGAACAAAAGACAGAATGAAAATTTTCTATAGAAAATTTTATAGCCGCGCAACAGTTCCAAGTCAGAAGCTTGATAAATAATTTTAACAAAATGCAAAAGTGCCCTGGACTTTAATCATTTCTTCTTTTTAATTTTTGGACAGTTTTAGCAGTCTCTTTATGGAAAAGTATATGGTCTCTGATTCTAAACGACTGAAATCTGGTTGCATGATTCATATCTTCTAGCAACTTGAAAAGGGAATTTGAAAGTTCTAGCTTAGAAGTTCATCATTTGATTTGGGGGGCAGTTAGTTTTATTGTAACATATCCGCTTAAGATTACGCTATGATATTAACTTCTAAGTCCATTATTTGACGGGTTTTCTTTTTCCAAGTCTAAGAAGATTTGTGGTTGTTATTTGATATGTGTGGGCCTGAAATGTCATTTTTTTCCTGCTCTTTATGCCAGAATTGGCAATTCTGAAGTGCCTCAGAAGATCTCACCTCGAGCTGCACGCCAACTCAAGCCAACTCCTTTGGAGACTGATTCCGCATCCTCTTCTAGCCAAGCTACAACCAGAATACCAAAGGAAAGAAGCCCAAAAGTAAATGAGCGCAGGTCACCCAGAAGCCCTGTGCCTGAGGTATCTAAATTGAGTGCATTGATCTTGCTTCTATTGAACCATACTGCATCACCCAAACAAAAAAAAAAATCTGGTGGTAGTTTATTGGCCAAGGTGTTAATGCTTTATGTGTTCAATGTAATTTGTTTGGAAGTGCTATATGGGAATTGACTAGTAGGAGCTTGAGTGATAAAAATGTATATTAAAGGTTTTTTTTTTTTTTTTTTTTTGAAAATTTGTTTTCCCTGTTTCATTTTTTCTTTAGCACTTAGGTTTTAAAAAGAAAAGAAAAACTATTAGGAAGGTAATTTTTTTTTGGGATTTCTTCCTATACGTGTCCTATGCAGTCATTGATAACATGATAATATGAGAAAGGATTTATATTGGTTTTGTTGAAGAAGTTGATAATATTTTAATTTCTCAAAATAGGGGAAATCCTTGATCTCATTTTTGCATCAAGCCCTGTGTCTGCACTTCCAAATTATGTGTTGCTTATAGTTTTGATCATATCTATGTGATTAAACTTTCCATAGATGTAGAATTTGAAGAATAAATGTCCGTCCTACAGCCATAATAGAATATCTGATACTTGTGTTTGTCATCGATGCAGAAGAAGCGTCCGAATAGAATATCTGAATTAGAATCTCAGATTTGTCAGCTTCAGGAGGACTTGAAGCAAGCTAGGGACCAATTGCGATCTTCTGAATCAAGGAAGAAGCAGGCTCAGCTAGATGCTGAGGATTCCAAGAAGCAACTACTGGCCTTGTCTTCAAAGCTTGAAGAGTCTCAGCAGCAGCTCCGGGAGCTTTCTACTTCTGAGGAAGCCCGTCTTACTGAGCTCCAAAAGATCTCGCAAGAACGGGATCAGGCCTGGCAGTCCGAGCTTGAGGCTGTACGGAAGCAGCATTCAGTTGACTCAACTTCCTTGGCATCTGCCATCAATGAGATTCAGTGGCTCAAGATTCAGCTTGAGATGATAGCTGCATCCGAGGCTGAACAAACGATACATGCGGAATCAGCAAATGGAGAACTTAAGAGCTTGAAAGGGAATTTAGCAGAAACTCTCTCTCTTTTGGAGAACATGAGGAACCAGTTAAAGGATTGTAAACAGTCAGAAGCTCAAGCCGAAGAGCTGGTTAGTGAAACACTGCTGCAGCTGGAAACTGCAAAAATGACTGTGGAATCACTCAGGTTAGATGGCCTGAAAGCCATGGAATCTTACAACTCCATTACTTCGGAGTTGGATCAGTCAAGGGCACGCATAAACTTTCTAGAAGGACTTGTAAGCAAGCTCAACGCAAGCCATGCTAATGGAAGCAACAATTCTTCTGTGAATCCCGCTGGTGATAATGACCTTGTGCAGGGATTTGGACCACAAGAGACTGGTGAAGACGGAGAGATTAGTAACTTGAAGCCTGAGGTACAACGATTAAGATCTGCTCTTGAAGCTGCTGAGACCAGATACCGTGAAGAACAAGTAAAGAGCACAGTGCAAATGAGAAGCGCACATGAACTGATGGAGCAGATAAAATCTGAATCAAGTCTAAAAGAGGCCAAGCTGGTGGCAGAACTGGGGAAAGCCAAAGCTGACATTGAAGAGTTGAAGGCCAATCTGATGGATAAGGAAACCGAACTGCAGGGTATTACTGAAGAGAACGAGGGGTTGAATTTGAAGCTCGAGAAGAACAAGTCAGGGCAGAGAGAGTATGAACTGGAAAGGGAATTGAAGAACTTGAAGGAACGTGTCGCCGATTTGAAAGCGAACTTAATGGATAAGGAGACAGAATTGCAGAGCATAGCAGAAGAGAACGAAATGCTGAAATTGGAGATGAACAAGAGCCAAATGGACAGGAGTGCAGTGAGTGATGAGGTGGTTGCAGAAGTGGAGGCAGCGAGGTCAGCGGAGAGAGAGGCGCTGGCAAAGCTTGGGGTTGCGATGGAAGAGGCAGACAGGAGCCACAAGAGGGCAGCGAGGGTCACTGAGCAGCTGGAGGCAGCACAAGCAGCGAACGCAGAAATGGAGGCGGAATTGAGAAGGCTGAAGGTGCAGTCTGACCAGTGGAGAAAGGCTGCAGAGGCAGCTGCATCCATGCTTTCAGCAGGCAACAATGGAAAGTTCATGGAGAGAACTGGGTCATTAGACAGCAATTACAGCCCTGTAGCCGGGAAAATTAGCTCGCTTTATTCGGATGATATGGATGATATACTCAAGAAGAAAAATGGGAACATGCTAAAGAAGATTGGGGTGCTTTGGAAGAAGCCACAGAAATAAACCAGTTTGGTTGCGGACGCACAATGTTTATAAGGTTCTATGTCGTTTGAGTCATCTGTTTTTCTTTCACCTACTACATCTCTAATGTTTTTTTTTTTTTTTGCCTTCCCTTCTTTCTTCTAGCAGATATATAGAGCCATGATTTTGTATGGAGTAAAAGTTGGTGCCATCTACGGAGACTACGGTCCTTTCTTTCACCTTTTGAATATCTGTAACAACGAATTTCTATTCACTACTGAATTTGAAGTACAGAGATATGTAGTAACTGAGACAACTATATCCACGGTATCGACAACCTTGTTCTAATGATACATGTTTTAAAATGCAAAACTATCCTTTTTTGGTTTGTTTAGCTGCCTAAAATTTCACGTTATGATGCTGTATTTTGATGGAGATTTGTCAGTGGGATAGTTGCTTCTTCAACATCCTTTGCACATGGGCACTTTCTATACAATGGTCGTCATTTATGTTCAATGTTCTGTTTTTTAGCGGAAAATTTCCTTTGTCAAGTATCAACGTTAACGACGTTCAAAAGTTGGGCCAATTTAGCTTAAATTGAACTTGTAACAATTCAATTGTCTCGTCCATTTTTTTTTCTTCTTTTTTTTTTTTTTGTTTACTTTTTAACGTAGTTTTTTCACGTTTGTTTTCCGGTTGCGTTTTTGGTCGAGTCAGATAATGTCGTTTCCAGATTCCATTATCGATTTCTAGTTTGTTGTGGTTTGGGTTTTTTTGCTGTTCTGAAACATTATTGTCATTTATAATTGTATTAACTCTTCCGCATTTTTCCGATAATGTTGTTGTGTTCTAGTTTGTTTGTCGCTATCCTCTTTTTGTTGTAGTTTTATAACTTCTATTTTCTTGTCGTTTACATTTTCATTTGTTTGTCGCTATCATCTTTATTATCGCTTCTGTTTTCCATGGATGTGCTTGTTTTAAATCACCTTTTCATTTTCCAATTTATCTTCCCTCGATCTCTACGTGTTTAATTTTTGTCGTTTCTTGTTTAGTTATCGTTTCTGGTTTGCTGTCGCTTGCCCATTTCATTATGTTTCATATTGTGTTGTCGTTTATTCTCCTTTTTGACGTTTTCCTCTTACCTTTAAAGTATGTACGCTTGTAGTGCTGAAACTTCAGGCGGCGGGCCTGCCCAATACTCAAATTTTTTCGGGTTCGCCGACATGACCTTATGTCTGCATGCCCAGTCTCCTTGGTTGGACTCGGGCTCGGGCAGACCGAAAAAGAAAATACAAACCGTGCCCACCGCCGTTGAAACCCCTGCCCAATGTCTGCCGATATGCCCGCTCAAAAGTCCGAATCAACGGCTAGTGCCCAACCCGACCGCCGCCCGAATACCCGACTTCAACGGCTAGATTTGTGCCTTGCCCGAGATGCCCGACCTGACCGTTTGACTACAACTGATCGATTTTGTGCCGTTAGCCGAGATGTCTGACCCGTCGTCCGAAGTCCGATCCACCGAAGACAAAAGATAACTGTTACAGGTCGAATTTTGGGGAAACAATGATTTTTTAAAACCCAAAAATTTTCTTATAAATATCCCCCTCCCCAAACATTTTCTTCATAGCATTTCTCACATTCTCTCTCACAATTTTTTTACAAGCTCACACAAAATCCTAAAGCTCTCTCTCTCAAAGTGCTCTCATCTCAAGTCTCAAATCTCTCAAAGCTCTTTTCAACTTCAAGCTCTCTCAAGCTCATTATTTTTTTTTGTTAAATTAATTTTAATTTATTTTTTATAATGGAATCTTTTGGTGATAGTGATAATCCCGTTGATCTCCAAAGTCCAATTCTTACTAATGTTTTTACTATGCAGGAATCGTAAACACAAGCACCCAAGGAACAATGTCCAATTCTAAATCCCGGCCGTGGTGGATGTAGTGGAGGTCGTGGTCGCAATGGTGGGCGTGGAGAGGCAAGTGCTACTGCAAGTATTGCAACCTCCGAAAATGCAAGCGCACCTCCACAGTTTGGGAGCACTTCGACAGATTTGAGGAGGTCGACAAGGACGGTAACACTAAACACATAGCTCAATGTAAATATTGCTATTCTAACATTATTCATGGTACAACACACTTGAGAAGAGACTCCGAAAAGTGTCTTCAAAAGCGTGGCCAAATTGCCGGATCCGAATTCCAATAAACACAATTATCATTTGATCGCGCAACCGCTGGTCTAACCACTTAGAAATATGATCCGCAAGTTGATCGTATAGAACTTACGCGATTGATAGCAGCATTAGACCAGCTACTTAGTTTTGTCGAGCATCCTAATTGGCACCGTTATATTAAAATTGTACACAATCCTAATGCACATTTTTTTTTCGAAAACTACTCTTAGGAAAGATTTGTTAAAATTATTTAAATAAGAAAAATAAGCATTAATCAACCTTTTGTACTCTACTAGCGGTTGCGTTGCGTTAACGGCATATATTTAGTCTACCGTTGTCAACAAAGATTATTTATCTGTAACCGGATATTATTTCAAAGGTTTCGATTTAGATAAGAGAATATTAGTTTTAAATGTGTTCTAGGATCGTATAGCGCCGATCTAATATATAATATAATTTTAAATATGATTGATGAATATAGATTATGGGATTGAGTGATTGCTATAACATTAGGTAATGCTAATTCAAATACTAAAGCAATTGAATATTTTGAAAATGATTTAAGTTTATTCGGTTATGGTACTATATTTCACTAATATTGTGCATGCCATTTAAGTTTATTCGATCCCAATCTCCACTGTTTCATCCGAACAAACCTTCAATACGACTAGCCAAATACTTGAGGAACGCCAAAACGCATTGCAAAGGGATATTGTTGAAGCTTTGGTATGCATTAAGGATTGGGATCTTACCGATCAACGTTTACAATATACAATTTCATTGGCTGGCCAAGAATGGATAGATGAATTTAATAGATTAACATTTAGTTTTGAAGACAATCATTCAGCTTCAAATTAAATTGTAATTTGTAAATATTTATTTACTTTGGACATTGTAATTGTAATGTTGTATATTTAGACTTTGTAAGTTTAGAAAATTTGTAATTCATCACAAAATGATTGCACTCTTTTTTTCTTACCAAGTTTTTATCCCAATTAGGTTTTTCTTGGTAAGGTTTTTAACGAGACAATCAGAAATTACAAATTTAAAAATTAATAAATAAAATTAATTTTTTAAATTGTGTTAATAGTGTGTGTTAATTTTAATTTTAATTATAGTTTTTATATAATATTTACAATATTATAAAAATTAAAAAATATATAAAAAAAATATTTTTTTCGTGCTTTTTGGGGCGGGCTCGGGCAGCCAAAACTTGCCCGAAACCCGTCCAAGAAGCTTTACGGGTTTGGGCGTGTAGCTTGAATTTTTCGAGCGGGTGGGCTTGAACAACGGGCACAAGTTCAGTTTTTTCGGGCGGTCGCACACGGCCCGTTTAAAGTTCGAACACTATGTGCTTGGCTCTTTTGTTGTTGTTTTCAATCTCTTTGTCCCTTTCACTTTTGTTGTGGCTTTTCTTCTGATACTGTCGTTTTAAGCGTTCTGTCGTTTCAAACTCCACTGTTATTTTTTTCTCAATTATCCGCAATGCGGAAACTGCCTTGCCCACCTATTTTTTTATTATTTTTTATAATTTTCATAAAATTTGGAATATAGAGTACAAAAAAAAAAAACTAATCACTAAACTAGAAATTGACTTCTATTTGCTTTGATCAATTATTATTCTAACTTTTTTTATTTTATTTTTACAGGATTGCTTCAAAGTTTAAACTAAGTATTGATCATTAAGAACTAGATGTTTTGACTGGATTATGAATGTTTTTATTATAACATTTTGACATTCGATTTTGGGATTTAGGTTTAATTGCATTTTGGACATTTGATTTTAGAATTTGAATGTTTCGTTATTAGACTTTTTGAATGTTGGATTATGTATGAGATTTTACTTTTGAATTATGGTGATTTGGTAATGCTTTTGAACACTAATTTTGCATTAATATGTTTAGTTTGAATTGTTTTTATTAATGATTATTTGTCGATGATCACGTCTTATTTTTATTGTTTATGTTAAGTACTTTAAAAATTAGTTATAGTTTACTTAAAAGTCTATGTATGGAGCTCAAACTGCCTAACATACCGTTTAAGTCGCCTGCCAAAAAAACGGCTCACACCGCCTAAAGTTTAGGCAGCCATGGATTGTATTTTTCACAACCGTCATATACAAAAACTGCTCAAACCGTCTAAGAATCGCCCATACCGTCCGATGTGCACCCCTATGTTTAAGTTTAAAAAATAATAGAAGAAAGGAAAGAAAAGAAAAATCGTGGAGGAGAAAAGGATTCAGCTGGAAATTTTTTTAATAGGTTTAAATGAAAATATTTCCTTTTAAAAAAGAAAAATAAAATTTTTCTTCTCAGTTTCTTCTGTAGCTTACTATGTGGCCCATTCTCTGTGGGTGAAAATTTCGGCCCAACAAGAAAACAACTTTTATTTTATTATTATATTTTTTTGAATTCAAAAGGAAAACGTATATAAAGGTCAAAAAACAGTAGGGCTCTCAAAGGTTGTGGCGGCCTAAGCTGGTTCTCCTTCTTCAAGCGATTCGGAGCTCTCTCTTACAGTCGAAGCCGTCTCCTTCCGAACTGCAATCATGGGGTAAGTCGTCAGTCCGAGCAAAACTTTAATGCTTAATTACTGTTTGTTTTTCGTGGAAAAGTTTTCTAGGAGGCAACTTTCCGGGAAAAAGATCTATACTTACGTCGGCCTTAATGCGATTTATATACAGCCTTTAGAGAAAAAAAAAAAAAAAAAAAAAAAACCTGCAAGACTTTAGGGTTTGATTCATTTGACATCTCGTTCAGATAATGACACCTCCTTGCGAAAGAAAAAAAGCCCAGTTTTTAGGGCCCATTTAGTTCACTGATTCTAATTAAGATGTGATTTTTTATGTGAGTTTTTTATGTGACTGTTTCTGATAACTTTTTATTGTACAAAAACTCGAATCGGTGAAATAAACGTGGTATTAGTCTCAATTGTATGATTTTAATATGGACCAAATATGCAATTTGAATTTGATGCAAAAAAATAAAATAATAATAAAATAATAATAATAATTAAAGAAACAAATTATTAAGTGAAAGTTTTATGATTTTCCTTATTCCTGTGGACTAAAATGCAAGTTTTAAGATGCCATTATAGTCTAAATTCCATTTAGACGTGTCATGTGAATCTAGTAATCTTATAATGAATTTGGATTTATCAAATTATCATGAGTTTCAATTTGTTTCACCAAGTACTTTTTTGCTTTTAGATATATGGTCTTACAACGGTGCCAGTTGTTAACAAAGTAACATATAACGGTATTTATCAAAAAATAAATCGAATGTGGTGCTGAAAATACTTGGAGCCCTTTGACTCACGGGTTTGAACGATAAATCAAACCTTTTTATACAAGGCATGTGTTTGGAATTGATCTCGTTTTTATTTTTTACGTTTTTTGAGAAAGAAAAAATGAAAACATTTTTAAAACGGCGTTTGGCGCAATAAAGACAAAACGGAAATAAAAACGATTTTTTAGTTTAGTGTAAAATGAGTTTTTTGTTTTCGTTTTCTTCTCTCTCGAGCAGAGAGAGAAAAAGAGACATTAATGAGTTTTTTTACATTGAAAATAATCTCTTGATAAAACTACCAAACGCATTTTCAAAAATGATTTATGTCTGAGATTGAAAACGTTTTCACTTTCATTTTCATACAAAACAAAACGAAATCATTTTGGAACGAATTCCAAACGCGCTCAATGCTTATCTCACAAAAATTTGAATTTCTGATCAAATTTTTTTGTTTAAAAATAATTTCTATTCAAATTTTTTTGGTTCAACGGATAGCTTGGAGTTTTTGTACATGGGTGCTGGCATATTATCCTTAAATTGATTTTTCTTGAATGTCTGCGTTCTTCTTGTCCCTTTACGGCAGTGTCATTTTGGATGATATTCTTGTCGTTAATTAAGATGAAAGGGAAATGACATCCTAATTGTATCATGTAATTTTTCAATTGAGCCGTCTTTGTGTGGAAATGTATTCTTTTTATGGAAAGCTTGCATTTGTGTATGGTTGTATATTTTGGTTAACACTTATCAGCGTTTTGCAGGAAGACACGTGGATCGGTCTCTGCTCGCAAGCTCAAAAACCACCGAAGGCGGCAAAGGTGGGCCGACAAGGCATACAAGAAGTCACATCTTGGCAACGAATGGAACAAGCCATTTGCCGGATCTTCACATGCAAAAGGCATTGTTCTTGAAAAGATGTAGGGAGATAATTGTATTGTATCATTTGATTCCTTTTCTTTTGGGGTGCAATGTCCGTTAATTTTTAAGCATAACAAGTATTTGGCTGGTATTGCAAACAGTGGTATTGAGGCTAAGCAGCCGAACTCTGCCATTAGAAAATGTGCTCGTGTTCAGCTGATTAAGAACGGGAAGAAGATCGCGGCCTTTGTACCGAACGATGGTTGCTTGAACTACATTGAGGAGAATGTGAGTATAGTGGGGGAAATGCAAGTGATGCTCAAGATTTTTCGCTTTCAAACATTGGTAATTAGTGTTTTGATTGTTCTAATTTGGCAGCAATGATTTTAGTTTTTTATATTCCATATATGCAGGACGAGGTTTTGATTGCGGGATTTGGTCGGAAAGGGCATGCTGTTGGTGATATTCCTGGAGTCAGATTCAAGGTTGTGAAGGTTTCTGGGGTGTCTCTCTTAGCCCTCTTCAAAGAGAAAAAGGAGAAGCCTAGATCTTAAGCTGCCTCGTACAAAATGTTTTTGGTAATTTATTTTGTTCCTGAATCTCGAGAGCTGGAGAAATTACTTATTTCTTTTTCACACTTTTGCGTAGTTTTTTCATGCTATTTTGATAGTTATGATTTACTCTACTTTGAAATAAATAAGGTAAAATAAGGTTTCTAGTGTTTATTTATTTATTTACTATTATTATTATTATTATTATTATTATTGTTGTTGTTGTTGTTGTTTTGCTGATAGAGGGTTTCTAAATTCAATCGGAGTCTCTTTTTGGGTTATGAGAAAGAACATGAATGGTGAAGAATTTTTCAAAGCTTAAGCTGTTGTAGTTTTCCTGTGGGCCTTGAATGCACCAATTATGGAAGCCCCAAAACAATGATCATCCACCTTTTTTTTCCCCTTAATTGAAAGGGAAATTTTCAAGAATGTCATCAAAACGTTCACTATTTTACTTCTGCTATCAATTTTAAATTTATTATTTATGTTATTTTTATGGCAGGATATTTTTTGCACACCAGAATATTTTCTACTGACAAAAATAAGATAATGAAAACTAGTTATTCTTGTAGCATTTTCTCTAATTAAAAAAGAAAAGGAAAAAAAAAAAGAAAAAAAAAATATGGAAGGGAAGTTCATGTGATCACAAACAACTATGTTAAAAATACCAGTGAGTGACGCATTCATGTGACGTAATTTCCATGGTGGAACACATGTCGATCAACTGTTGAGAATAAGCACTCATGGCCCATTGTAGAATGCATGCTTAATGAGCAGCTAAGAATAGTTACTCTCAGCCTTCTTTTTGTTCATCGACATTCGACCACAATTGGACTATGGTTTAATTTATTTGGCAGTCACATCTTTTTTTCGTTGAAAAGAGAATAGGGTATTTTTATATAGTACAAAGCTGAATTGTTATACTTTGTTTAATCGAATATGATGTTGATTTGATATTGCAGTTAAAAATTGTACCTAAGTTAATCTAATGTTTACAAACTGGTTCCAACTGGCAGGATATATTTCTCATACCCTATATTAGAAAAAGAAGTATTGTTTCAATTAACATGAAAAGGATTGAAGTGTTTTAGTATAAACTCGTGTCGTCTTAATCGCAGATCCTAAAGTTGAATATCCCGTGTATAGCTTCAATAAAACTAAGTGATATTTGTAAAATTAAACCACATTTTAATTCACCTCTCAAAAAACAGTCATATCGTGTAATTTTCTCATAACTATATGGCTTTTTATTAAGCAAAAAACAAAAGGAAAAAAATACTGCAATTCTAAAATAGATTATTAAATATTAATAAGGTATATTTCTAATCGTCACAATATTTTATAAAATCATGGGGATTTCCAACTGCATAGTACCCATGATAGTAATGCTATGTATTCAACTACATAATTATTCAGGGGTGGAGCCATCCACAGACAAGAGTGTGGGGTCACCACATTTGAACTTTTTTTTCCTTAATTTTGTATATTAAATGTGATTATATTCGTCCCTCCCAAAATTCTACATCTTTTTATTTACCCATCTTATCAATTCAATCATGCCTTTGTTCGCTGATTAATGTTCCGTTTATTTTACTGATTTGAGTTTAGAATTTGAGTTTTGTTACAGTAAAAACTCTAAAAAACAGTCACATTTAACTTTTTTATTACAATAAAAAATTCTCATATAAAATCACATCTCAACTCAAATTAAAAATTCGAATCAATAAATTAAACGAGCCCTAAATTTTCTGGTTCCGCCCTCGGTGTTATTGGTACTATAGAATGCGCTCTTGGCAAAATGATAGCGCCAAAATTTGACGAATGTCGTCCAATGTGATGTGTAAGCGGAGTCTTTTTTCTTCATGGGTAATCATTTCATTCAAACAGACCAAAACTGTATATTAATAGTTTTTCAAAGACTTTCAAATGAACATGAATATATTTATGCTCATGCTGTGAGTTATAACAGAACACACCTCGATCGTTGACACTCACTCCAAAATGGGTCTGTTTTTCAACATACAAAATCATGCGCAAATAAATAAAGCTCGCCATTGGAACTACCATTTTGTCAACAGACAGCTACCTAGCTACATCGTTATCTTTTACCTACGAACAACAACATAAATTATTTTGATAATGCGCTCTACAAATCAAATTCTAATGTCGGTTTGCCAAATTCCTATGTAACAATAATTATATAATTAATGTCACTTGAGGTTCTAGTGCTACTAGAGGCACATTAAAATAAGAATTCTCTCACTGACCATTTTGTCACGCCCAAATCCTAAGTTGGATTTGGTATCAGTAAGAGGAAAGAAAATCTACCCCGAAGTTGGTGCTAAATATGCTCTTTCACTGAAATTCAAATTGCTTAGAGAGAAGAGAATAAGTCCATCAACCCCATTATCATATAATTATTTGAGGCCTTGATTGAATAATCTCTTTTTCCTCGTCTCTATATATATTAATATATTATATATATATTATTCCAAGAATCTACCTAAAAATAACAAGCAATCATGGCAGAATATGTTGAAAATGCCACTCAATATTATTTCAACAACCAATGTTCCTGCACAGCGGCAGCAGCGCCAACCACCTTTTAATACTTTCAGAGTTCAGAGAGTTCAGACTGCGAAAACCATGAAACATCACTCTCACTCTCTCTTTCTTTTTCTTTTTTGTTTTCTTTTTTTCTTTTTTTTTGCTCTCAGTCACAAAATATGGAAATTGGAAATAATGAAGGTCTTGATATGGTTAGCAAACAAATATCAAATCTCATTAGCTCATGATCTAAAGAAGAAATCCCAAAAAGTATATATATAAATAAAAGAAAATGATGATGATTCAAATGAATCACATTAAGGAAAAAAAAAAAAAAAAAAAAAAAAACTCTAAAGATTTGAGATTGAAAATTTTAGTCCCTTCTTTCTTTTTTCTTTCTTGGAGACACTAATTAAAAAAGGAAGATCATGACTTGGAATGCTGAGACTACATTAGAGGAGTAGTATTGAGAAGGCCATGCCAAGAGGAAGCAATTCCATTCCAGGATTCTCTGCCTGCAGCTGCATCAAAATCACCCATACCACTTCCATGATCTGATCCATTAATCTGCCAAGGGCAACCCCACAAGACCCTATTCTCATTACTAATTTGGTGATGATCTTTATTACTAATTCCATTGCAAAGCTCTTGCTTGATTGTTGTAACTGCCACTGCTGTAGTTGTTGCATTGCTGATCATTTCCTGATCATGATCATAAGGAAGGCCATTGATCATGGTCTGATCCCCACCACTAATTCCAACAGTGCCCCCACAATTTTCACCATTTTGATCAATCTGATCCCCAATGATGTTGCCACTCCCAAACCCATAATACAAATTGTGAAAAGAATTGGTAGTACTATTATTGGTGGTGGTATTTTGGGACTCGAGGAATCCATTCCTTAGGACATCAAGAAATGATCCAGGGTTTGGGTTCCCAATCATGTCACAATGTTGGTTGCCGTTGGGGTTTCCCAAAATAGAAAGATGGTGGTGATGATCATGATGATCATGACCATGATGATCAAATCCCAACTGCTCACATGACTGTTTTTGGAGCCTAGCAAAGGCAAGGGTGAGGTCATTGGAGTCATAGGCCCCCAAGGGCAATGGGAGGTGGTGGGTGGGTGGGTTGTGATGATCCTGTCCCCTCTTTGACAATATTGATGATGAAAATGATGAAGTTGATGATGATGATGCTGATGATGAGGATGAGGAGGACCTCTTGTTCTTCCTGCACCCTCCACCCACTGGAACATTCCTCAGTGTGCCCCCTTTGGTCCAGTACCTCCTGCAGGCCTTGCAGAAGTACCTTGGTTGGGTGAGGCTGTAGTTGTTGTAGTAACAGAATTTGGTGTTTGTGGAGTCACATCTTGGGCACTTCAAGGCTTGCTCTGGGTGTGGCCTTGGCTTCCTCTCTTGCTGGGGTTTTGACCCCACAAGCATGTTTCCCAATGAGTCAGAGCTCATTTCCTGAATTAAAGTCATAATTAATTAGCACATAATTTAGTAATTATTGATGTCTTAATTATATGACAAAAACAAACTAGGAAAGATGCGTGTATTGTTATCTACTATAAGTAATTATGAATAATGGACAAACATATATAGACAGGTGCTTCATGTGTTATGAAAGTGTCACATTCTAGGACTATATCATGGGGTTTTGCTTCTTTTTGCCATTCTTCTAGACCTTTCTTTTTTTGCCTTTAAGTTCTTTCACAGAAAGCAATTAGGATTAGTAATTTATGGCTCCTCTTATAGTTGTTTGATTTGTCATAACTAATTCACAATGACATCACATAATTACCAAAAAAAGATATAAAAATGATTTTCCATTTGATTGCCTTGGAAACTTGATAGACACAATTTCGGCTACACCAGCTATCTAGAACTTGAACAACAATTTCATGTTCTCTTGTTTATGCTCATGTCATCACAACAGCGGAATAAAAAACAAAGTGCATAATAAACAACAGAAAACGGAGTTTTCATTTTCTTGCCAAAGGAGTTGCACACTATCCGAAAAAAAAGGGTGTAATCGAAACTCAGAATCATAAGAAATATATACAGTAAATAAACAGAAAACCAAATTAGCTCAAAGCTCAAATCTTTCTTTCTAGACTACCACCTCTTGAGTTATAACTAACAGGTAATTATACCACCATTAAGAATCAAACCCAGAACACAATAAAAACAGTATAAATCACCATAGCCAGCGAAGACCCAACAAAGGAAAAAGAGAGAAAGGAACAAAGAAAATCACATAGTAGAAGAAAAAAAGAAGATCAATATATACATATATATATATATATATTTGTGCTAGCTCTCAGAAACCAAACAGCTTTCCGAACCCTACCTGGTTTTGCCTACTTGAAGGATCCATGCATGAAACCAAAGAAATGTTAATTTAAGGTCCTACTCAAAACAACACACAAAGAGATTAATTTAGACAGAGAAAGAGAGAGCCCGGGGTTGTTTTCAAAGGAAGGACTTCGGAGGGAAAGGAAGAAGACTATCGAGAGAGAGAGATGGGGTTAAGCAGTACATGCAAAGTAAGGAAATAGAGCCACCCATCTAAGATATATAATGCAAACCCCCCCAGAGAGATGAGAATAAAATAATTGAATAAAATAATTAAAAAATAAATTATTTCTTTCAGGCAGACAGAGATATGTAGATTGATGGTTGGAGAGAGAGAAAGTGAATGTATGTGTTACTGTTTGTGTTTTAGAGAGAGAAAGTAATGATGTGGGGGGTTCCCACCGTACGAGACGATCGATGAGGTTAGCTTGCACGCAGAGAAAGTATTAAAGAAAATTCGAGTCCCAACTCTCTCCTCCAATCTTCTTCTGCAACGGTTTTCCTTACTAGTGCATTACTCGGGTCCATTCTCTGGTGGGTCCCCCTATCGCGTGGATGCAACTATTAGTGGACCCCACTTATAATCTCCCTCTCCAGCTGTGGTCCCCACCACTTATAGATTAGTCTCAATTCACACTAACTACGACTCCAATTCATCGTCAAAAACTCTCCCCGCGTAATTAGTTAGTAAAACTCAACCCAGTCGGGCCATAATATATAATCATTATTGTGTTGTCATTCCTATTATTAATCAGCCCACCAACAAGAACCTCGTGTTCCAAAAACAAACCCGAGAAAAATACAAAAAGCAAAAATGGAAAATAGTAAAATAATGAAATGAAACACGAGAAGAGAACAAAGAAAAACAGAGATTTGGCCTTAGCAGCATAACAGAAGATCAAGAGCACCAAAAGGATAAGGAAGAGGAGAAAGAAAGATGAGAGAGAGAGAGAGAGAGAGAGAGAGAGAGGGGTTTGGTGTTTTTGGACCGTAGTGTGGTGGGGTTAGTTAGTGTGGGGCCCACTTGGTGAAATCTTTTCTTTCTTGATTTGATTCAAATTAATTTGTTTTCGTTGTTTGTCGCCGCCTGTTGATAATTGCTGAAAAATACTGCTCTAGTTGTTTGTTGAAGGTTCTGATGATGTGGACTTCATAATGATGGTTGGGACATGCAGGGGACATTTGTGACAGTGATTGAGGATTCTTCTGATTTCTTCTCCTCCTCTTCTTCTTCTTCGTGAATTATAGGTCCGGTGTTACAATGTTAGGTATGCTTGACAGTTGGTCCTTGTGATTATAAATATTTTTTTTATTTTTTTAATTTTATGTTTTGTGATTAGTCCTATTCAACTCGGCACTCGGACCCCATCATAATCAACATTGTTTTGTATGAATATGTGGGAAACAACTGTAGATGTATTTTGTCTCTTTTTTTTTTTTTTTTTTTTTCCGATAGCCCTCTCACTAATTAAATTTTAACATATTGTAAATTATTTAAATATTTTTTATTTTTTATTTTTATTTATGTGATTAAATTTCTAAATTTAAATGATATGATAAGTAAACAATGAAAGAACAACCACTAAAATAAAAAAATAGGGACAGTAAATTTAGACTCATTTGGCAACACATGTTTTGGTAAACATACGCTACGTTCATTTCACCGATTTGAGTTTCGTTACAATTAAAAACTATCAAAAACAATCACATTTACATTTTTTATTATAGTAAAAAACTCTTATATTAAGTCATATCTTGACTCGAATTAAAAATTCGAATCTAGGAATTAAATGGGCCCATAGTGGACAATATTGTGTTCTGGAATGTTTGGTATTAAAAAGAAAGAAATGAAAAAAAAAAAAGGTGATCTAGATACTACTTAGTGGAAACAACAGTAGACAATAATATTTGTGTGTTTTGTGTGTGTTTTTCTGTTTTACCTAAAATTGTTGTTGTTTATTTTATTTATTTTTTTCTACTATAAGTAGTTTAGACACATCAAAATACAGGTTACTAAATTGAGGAGACAGGTACAAAAATAAGAGAATTTAGACCATACATAATCCTTCTGCTCAAAATCCAAGTTGGATATGCAAAAACTGCATGTAATTTATAGGCTCCAATATGCACAATCAATGCTTTTTACACTCTATTTCTGCCACCCCTTCCAAAAAAATATTTATATTATATTATCTGGATGGAGGATCTTAAATCAAACGAATTCCACCTAAATCATGAGGTCACTAGGACAAATACAATATGATATGAATATCTTGACCGAATATTGACCTACTCATAGTCACATGATCTTCTGTAGTCTCATACACGATCCAAAAAAAAAAAAAAAAAAATCTTTCAGTATAACAAACAGTAAACTTCTTTTTTATATCGCAATCAAAATGATTAATCTTAATTCAAGTTTGAACGTCATGTAGAAAATTAAAACATGGCGAACGTCATGTAGAAAATGAAATGGTCTTTATCCATTTCTTTTCTCTCTCTTTCTTTCTTTCTTTTTTAATTTTTTTGTTCATACTATCTTCATTTGCGGGTCCATTACTTAGCAGTCAAAAAAACAGATATTCTACCAAACTGAAGTCTATGTTTACATTCATCCTCTATGCATGTAATAATTATTAACAACAAATTAGCGTTCTACTCCATGTGTAAAACAAAACCCATCATTGAATGCAATTCTTTAATGTCTAATATTCCACGAGAGAGAGAGAGAGAGTTTAATCCCACAATGCAACCCACTTTACTGATGATCACATAATGGGATGAATCAAGATCAGATGGTCTATATTAAGCGACCTTTACACGTATACAAGACATTACCATTTATCGGCCAAGATTCTTGGAGTAGCTGGTGGGAAAAACAATGTACCAACCGAAATTCTAACCTGTTACCATCTGTCAGAAATCAAGAAATAATAAACAAACAATGATTGATACTAGCCATGATGGCCTTTGGATCCTATGAGAAATTTTTGCTTGGGCTCCAACCTATTTCAAGTAAAGAAATTTGGATAAGCATTCTTTTTTGGTTTTTCGTCCTTATATTCATTTAAAATATTTTTTATTTATTTTTCTTTTTATGATTATTACAAGTTTTAAGCACCACAGTCCACACTTTGGGTGCAAAAATTGATTGTAATGGAGAGTGGGGCCATTGGTATGAACATCGTAGGGGTCAGTCAAGTTAGTTGACTAGTCAAATTTATCAGTCAAAGGAAAAACCGCAGAAGAAGGCTTAAAGAAATGAAAAGTAAAGTTGTTGGGAAACTGCGCCCGGGGACATATTACATCGGTTTGTATGGTTTGCATCTTCGCTGAAGAAAAGAATCTGATATTTGCGAGAATCTCCCTGGAATTTGGTTAACATCGCACCTGAGAATTTTTGGTTCGTGTTTTAACTTAGCGTCAGCTTGATTTTCACAATGGTAATCAAGTTGTTAGAAAGAAATGAAACAAAAAAAAAAAAAAATGAAGAAAAAATTAAACATATTATAAGATTTTAATTGGGAGTGTAAGAATTTGATTGTGTTACTTTTAATTGTTACGGTACAATATTGTACGTCAAAATCTTAGTTTAGATTTTGCCTCAATTGGTAAACTTGCAAGGCAGTTCTTATTGGCCAATATGTCTCAATCATTCTCATCTGTTTGTATTCTTACCTTATCAAAACAAGAGTAGGTATGCGTTTAATTTCTTGAGTAGCCCACATAGCACGAAAATTGTCCTATCTGTCGGCTTGTACTTTCTCTTGCATGTGATTCTCCTAGCTTGTGTTATATATAGAAGGAAATTCCAACAAACATTAATGAAAGAATCCATATATATATATAAAAAAGAGACAAATAACTTCTTAAATTGTACGAGTCTTAATTTTTATCATTTACTTTTGATTCTACTGTCGATTAATACCATTTAAATTGCATGGTTTTTTTTTGGTAATTTATTTTGTAATTAAAGATGTTACCCTATCTAGATTTTGATGATTAACTCGTGCATGTTAAGTATTTACAATAACACCATCATCGCTATTATTATGCATCTCTACATATCATCCGCACTTTATTATAGTAGTTTAAGTAGTAACACATTTTGTGAGGCTCATAACACGTGCTCTATGTATGGAATGAATATTTACTACAAAAGCTTGAGTTTGGAGCCCAAGGTGGCTTGTTGGAAGCTAATTAGTTGTATCTAGAAAGTTGCAGAAACATTATTAACTTTTGCAAAGTAACGTTTTATGAGAGGATGGATATTCATTGGCGATCTATAATATGCGGGCACTAGCAAATTAAACACAAGCACAGACAAGGACTAGAGACAAGTTACGATTTACAAGCATGCATTTTCACAGTACACATGAAAGAAACAACTCTGAACGCCAACTAGGCAATTATGATCCAAGTATGAACAACAACAGTCCAAGCACTTTTTGGACGTTGAAATCGGCGATTGCCGAGTACCAAAGAGCAGCCAATCAAGCAAAAACCAAACAACCAAGGAGAAGGACTTAATATATATATATATA